GTGTCACAATTCTGGTTATTCCCAGGTGTTTTGTCCTGATGTGTTGCTGGAATTTCCTAAGTGACTCCCGAGCTACCCCAGAGCTGTTGTGCTCATGGATAGTTGTCTAATTGCTGATGTTTGTTTTTGGGATAAGGCTGGGGTCTCCTACTTCACCATCAAGGTTTTGTCAAATTTTCTTTGTATCAGTTAATGACAAATGAATCCCCAGATTCCTCACCCAGAGTCCTGTGGGGCAGGAGGGCTGCAGGGGCGGGACGCGGCAGCTTGCAAAGGACCATCACTACCACACAGCCCGCATTTTCAACTCGAGGAAACTTCAGGGTCTGTGATCCAAAGTAATTTAAAGAAAATATATTCTGGAGCAAATGAACTCTTCTGAATGGACAGAAATTGGAAGCTATTAGGGACATTTGCTGAATTTAGGCCAGAACAGCTGCAATTTGATGTGCTGTCAGTGGAGGGGCGCTATTGGCAGAAGGGAAACCACACTGGCTTCTTCTGGCTGCATGTCCACAACGAACTTGATATCTGCAGAAATACCAAGTCAGAGGCAATTTCTACCCAGCTGCCAGTTACTCTGCAGGAAATTTCGCTGAGAGCACCAGGGTGTGACGGGTTTGGGGTTACCATGGGGAGAAGGGAGACAGCCCCAGCATCTTCTGATGCCTAGAGCCCAGTGCTTTGAGGGAGGGTGAGGCAGATTCCACTGTGATTCCTGTGCCTCCATCCCTTGCATTCACACCTTTGTGGAGACCCATCCCCTCAGGTGTGTCCTGGGCCTGCTGACTGGCTTCCAACAAGCACAACATGGCAGAACTGATGGGATGTCATTTCCCAGATTAGGGCACAAAACAGATTGGCTTTCGTCTCCCAGGCCCTTGTTTCTGTCAGCTCTCTGCGTGCTCTGATGGAAACCAGCTGCCGTGTGGGAGCCTCGCTATGACAGACCCACGGGTCCAACACTGAGGAAGGTCCCAGGACAGTGGCGCACAGCACCTGTGTTCTCCCAGCTCCCAGGTGGGGGACCCGGAAACCGGTCCTTGCCCAGGCAGACCTGGAGGGGTCCCCACCCTTGCAGGCCTCCCAACAGCAGTCCTGTTCAACACTCTGGGTTATTCAAGAGGCGCAGGGAGTTATGAGTCAATGTATAAAAACCAGTAGTTTTCTAATATGCCAACATACATCAATGAAAGGGAAAAATTAGAACTTGGGTGGTCCTTTAAATAAAAGGGAAAAAACCCTAAGAAAGCGAAGTAGTTTCTCTTAGAGACAGATCTTAAGTCAGGAGACAGAAAACTTTTGATTTTGTTATGAAAGATGTAATTCCCCCTAGTTTACACTATTAATACAATGGACTTGCAAATATCAAGCTCTGGAACTCATCAATTAAACTGAAAAAAGTCTGCATTATGTGAAAATCCTTGAAACTGGGAATCAGAAGGGAAGTGTATAGATGAGTCTTCTCCTGAGAGGAGGTAGAGCCCAGAACCTTTTAACACATTCACTTTATCCTTTTCTTCTGTTAAGATCAGGATGTCCTCAGCGGTTGGGAGAACAGGGACTAATTTCACTTAATGATGAGCTCTGTGCATTGAGCTCCCAAGGTCAAGGAGGTGAAAACAATTAGCCAGCGCCTCCAGCCTTATCTGGGTGCCAGTCTCGGTCACGCCTCATCCGTGTCTCATCATCTGCACACTGGGATTCATGCCTGAGTCTGTCTTCCTGTCAGTCCTGAGGACAGAGCCTCAGCACCATCACTGACCACGCAGGAGAAGGCACTGCATCCGGGCTCCTAAGTCATGACCCAGCTGAGGTACAGCACAGACCAGGGAGTGCCCGGGCAGGTGGTGGGTGCGGCAGGGGCTTTGGGAGCTGTTTCCTGATCAAGAAGACAAGTAGAGAGAGGTTGAGGTGGCCAGATGGGAGGGCTCCAAAGTGCAAAGTTTCAGCTCAGAAGCCGATGAGGCTCCTACACTTGTCTTTTCTGTTGGGGATTTCAGAACCTCATACAGAATCCCGCTCTCCTCCACCACCACGTCTCGCTCCCATGAGCATGGCCCAAGCCAGCGCAGGAAATGGATCTGTGCAAACCAGTTCTGAGCACCCCCAAATGAGCACGATTAGGATCATGATAGACTACCCCCACTATCACCAAACATTATTTAGGGTTTCTTGTGCCAGGCTCCGAGCTTTGTGCCATGGAGCTTTGATTTCCATCTGCCTGATCATTTCTAAGATGCAGGTGCACACATTGCTGTAGAGCTGACAAAATGAGCACAACATCCTTATTTAATCTGTACCATGATCTAGAGTAAAAATGGGAGAAGTCAGGTTTGGATCTGAGTGGCCAGGCTTTATTCACAGCACATAAGGTCTGTTAATGTCTTCACACAATTTAGTTTGCAGTGGCTATTGAGCCCTTGAAATGTGCTTAGTCCAAACTGAGTTGTGCTGTTAGTATAAATTTTGTGTCTTGCTGAAATCATCATATTCTTGGTATAGTGGCTTCAATAAAATGTTGAAATTACACACCAACCAACTTATTCAATGCTTTCCTTTCTCCTTCCAGGTGTACTCCAAGCAGAATGCGCACAGGGAAACTACTGGGTTTCATTCATTTCTTATTCTCCAGCATATACACAGTGGCCGGCACTGAGTAGTCCCTGAAAAAAAAGATGTATATATATATGGGTTACCCTTCTCATTCACAGAAATGCAATGCAATCTGTACAGCTTGCACACACACTGGGGGCTTAGGAAAGCTCTGTGCTTTTCTTTTTCTCTTGTTATTATTTGTCTTTTAATAACTGGGTTTATTTCAAGGGAAGGCTTCTTAATATTTAGAAATATCTTACTCCAGACAGCCTCCAATCAGTATGTTTAGGACTAGCGACTTCCTCCATGATAATGGTTGTTCTATAGGAATTCTATACTCTGTGCTTAAATCAGGTTTGATTGAGCCCCTGCACTGTGCTACCAGGGTATTTCTCCTCTTAATCCCGAGGACCTGGGTATTTCTCCTTTTAATCCCTGTCTTTGCTCTGACAGAGGAATGCACAACAATAGCTGCAGAGATATTTAAAGATCCTGTTCTACTGATGGACTTTTTAAATCTCTATATATCCTTGTGCCTCTAATTTCTTTGACCCAATCTTTCCAAAGTGGACACACTTAAAAACAGGGGATTGGAACAAATACCGGTGAGAAAGGAGTTCTAAGAAGAATGTGTTTGCTACAAATGAGAGATTTTGTTAATGGGGCATGGTCCTTACATGTGAAAACTTTATTTGTGAATCATTTGAATTCAAAATATAGACAGACTGTTGGGTACCTGGAAACTGGTTCCATTTATATCAGCTTCCATCTTTATTTCATAAGGTGTCTCTGCTATGTGGAACCACAAAATCTAACAGGTGTCGTGGAATTCCTCCTCCTGGGATTGACAGAGGATCCAGAGCTGCAGCCCCTCCTCTTCGGGCTGTTCCTGTCCATGTACCTGGTCACCATCCTGGGGAACCTGCTCATCATCCTGGCCGTCGTCTCTGACCCCCACCTCCACACCCCCATGTACTTCTTCCTCTCCATTCTGTCCCTGGCTGACCTCGGTTTTACTTCTACCACAGTCCCAGAGATGATTTTTGACATTCAAACTCACAACAGAATTGTCTCCTATGTGGGTTGCCTGATTCAGTTGTCTTTTTTTAATCTTTTTGGATGTTTGGACAGTGTAGTCCTGACTGTCATGGCCTATGACCGGTTTGTAGCTATTTGTCACCCCCTGCACCATGCGACCATCATGAACCCCCGCCTCTGTAGCCTGCTGGTCCTGCTGTCTCTTTCGATCAGCCTTTTGGACTCCCAGCTGCACTGCCTGATGGTGTCACAACTTACCTTCTGCACAAAAGTGGAAATTCCTCAATTCTTCTGTGACCCTCCACAACTCCTCAAGCAGAGTTGTGATGATATCTCCACCAATAACATATTCACCTATCTTATTGGTGCCATCTTTGGGGGTGTTCCAATCTCAGGGATACTTTACTCTTACTACAAAATCGTTTCCTCCATTCTTAAAGTCCCATCAACAAGTGGGAAGTACAAAGCCTTCTCCACCTGTGGCTCTCACCTGTCAGTGGTTTGCTTGTTTTATGGCACAGGACTTGGGGTGTACCTCAGCTCAAGTGTCTCACATGCTCCCAGTAAGGGTGCAGGGGCCTCAGTGGTGTACACTATGGTCACCCCCATGCTGAACCCCTTCATCTACAGCCTGAGGAACAGGGACCTCAAGGGGGCCATGCAGAAGCTCCTCAACAGAATAGCCCCATCTTAAACTTCGACCATTTTTTTCTTTGGTCTGGAGATTAGAAAAGACAGTAAAATCAAACATCTGGAATTGTCAAACATGCCTGCTTGGTCACATGGTTTTTGTAGCTCATGTTCTTCATTCCTTTGGTTTATCTTATCTGAAAATTGTATATTTGACACATATTTGATGGGATTAAGGTAGTATTCTGGGATCCCGTGTATGCCCAAATCACTGCTGAGTGGAATCCTATTACACCTATGGAATCTTCTGCATTTGTCACCCATGACCCAGGCACCCTGCAGAAGTTCACAACTCTCTTTTTAAATATATATCCAATTTATCTCAACCATTTTCACTCTATGTCTATTTTCTATAAAACTTTGGCTTCAGTGAAATCTATTGATGCTGGTTGCACAGGAGAGCCTATATGTTAGAAGCGACTGATGAACTTTAAAGCATCTTCCTGAATCCCACCACCAACGATTAAGATTTAATTAGACTGGAGAGTGGAAAAAGTGTGGACATTTTTAAGAGCACCCCCATTGGGTCAAAGGTATAGCCAAGGTGCAGCACTCTTGGATTTTCTCAGATGTTTCATTCAAACATGACTTGTGTTTGGGTTCTTTACTGGTCACAATCTCATCCTAAAGACCATCATGTGGTCAGAGCTCATAAAGGAGAAGATGTAAAAGCATTTGCCTTAACAACAGCCGAGGTGATTTTTCTCAAAAGTTCTGGTGTCATGTTTTCACATCTTCCTCCAAGCTCTGCAGCAGATCATGTCTACATACAGGTTTATAAAGCTATTGTGATTGTGCTCCAAACTTACTTTTCTATACTTAAAGTTGTGATGCTGTGGTGGGACTTGGAGTCTTCAGACTACTGCTCTGATTTTCCTGGCTTCTTTTCAGGTTCTTCCAATAATGGCCAATAAAGGACACCACGCCCTAATGCCCAACCACTTCCCTATACACTTTAGCCGATGGGGCTGTCACTACATCCTTCAGTGATGACTCTGTGTGACCACATTTTTTCTTATGTGCCTTTCATCTTCCATTAACTATTTAGCCATACTTATATTAAATTACCTTCATTAAAATAACCAGTGTGGCTCTTCTTTTTCTTGATTGAACCCTGACTAATAAATCAGAACATAGGGAATAAAACTATATTGTGAGATGCAATTGGAAGGTTACAAATTGTGCTCAGGATAAAAAAAGTGAGTTAATGATATGTCTTGGTCAAGGGTATACAACTGAGGTCATAGTAGTGGTGTACGTTTCCAGTGGCTGTGTGGCTCTAACTGTGGCTGTAGACTGTTGTCATCCAAGCCATTATGATAAAATTACACTCTTATCTTCATTTTTGTTACTCAAGGATAGCAAAGGACCATGACCTCAGCAAAGGGAACATCTTCCCTGTCATTGTCACTGCCTCCTTAGGATTCCAGTTCGTACATGTTTCTTTTTCTTCTATTAAGATCAATCTGTCTTTGAGCTCCTTCTGTTTTCTGCTACACACCCAGGCACCCACATACACATCAACCTTTCCTTTAGAGATGCTGCACACAGTTTCTGAGGTAGCAATCTGGCTTTCTGAGAAGCTGTCACATAACTGGTTGAATGAACTCTGCCTTTTACCATGAAACTAAATTGCCTACAACTTCACTAGGCAATGGGCTCCTCCCACTATGAAATGACTTCAGTTAGATATCGTGAAAATTTAATATTAGATTTTTCTTCCTATCTGTGCATTGTAGAATGTCTTGACACTCACACCTCCTTCTCAAATTGTTTTCTATTCTCCTGACACTGGGTCATGTAAGCTTCCTAAATTTTCTTTTGCCATTTACAAACACAGAGGGAGCACACTTTGGACCATTTGCAAGTTAATTGGGTAAATATTCAAGTTTTCTTCCTATCAGGTAATGATAAATCAATCTCTGAGCTTCTCATACAGAGAAACCTGAGCAGAAGGACTGCAAAGATAAGGTAATAGATAAGATAAATCATACATCACTTTTATTTCACTAGATGAGCCAAAATCACATATTGGAAAAGACCTTGAGAGTTGGAATACAAAGGTTCTTAAGAAAGTATATTTGGAGGCAGATGAGCCTAATCAGAATCCTCTAGAGACGCTTATGGAACTGGTCCTGAACTAGCGGTGGCTTCTCCTGGCAAAGTTGAAAGCACCTGTTTGTATATAGAGAAACCAGGGCGACTTCCTATGGCAGGGCCAGGAGCACCGAGGCAGGGCTTGCAGAAGTACTAGAAGTGTAAGTTCTTCCATGTGCCAGTTCTTCCCTAGGAAATTTTGTTGAGAAGATGGTGACATGAAGGTTAGTGTCTGTTAGAAAGAGAGAATCTCTGGGGTCTTGTGCTCAGAGTTGAAATTCCTGATAGCAGGTCAGGGCTTGTGGGTGCAGAGCATCTCAGATGCTCCCTATGAGTGCTGCCATCCATATTCAAGGCCATGTGTGCACCCAGTGATTGGAGTGTTCCCTAGATCTAGAGACTTGCATACGATGAATAATACTTGGGAAAATATTGCAGTGTCACTCCAACTGTAATGAGTAAAAAGGCTCAGATTTTCAACTTGCCAGCCTCTATTACTCTGTCACAACTCATTCAGATGGGAGGCAGCTGCCATACTGTCAGCTGCCCAGTGGAGAAGCCCTTGTGACAAGAAGCCGAAGGATGTCTAGTGCCCACTGCCCAAGAGTAACAGAATCCTGCCATTTTCAGGTGAGCAAGCTCGGAATCAGAACCTCTTATAATCGAGCCATGAAGTGACTACTGCCCTAGCCTACATTTTGACTGTAGACATTTGTGACTTCCACTCGAGTACATAGATAGTTGTCTAATATAATAGCATGCATCAATTTGCAAGAAAAATGAAAACTTGGGGTTTTCTCCAATATGCATTGTTTCACCGGAAAGGCCAAAATATTAAAAACAGCAAAAATATAAAAATTTTTTTAAAAATCCACCTCCAATTCTAACAGGTATACCACAAACCAGGACTGCACAAAAGAAAACAGAAGGTCTTCTTGGAGGAATAAATCTCAACATAGGAAAAGGAAATATAGTAGATTCCTAGGATAAGAGATCAAAGTCTCTCTAAATCTCATGATTAATTCAATGGAGTTGCAGATTCAGGTGACATATCGTTCCCTTTTTACTGAAAAAGTATGATTGTTATAAGACCCCTGTAACTTGGAAGTCAGAGGAGCAGAGGACAGGTGAGCTTTCTCCTGGGAGACGGGTCCAAACTCCCCAGACTCTCCCAAGCACACTCACTTTTCTCCATTCCTCTTCCATTAATACCTGCAAGTCCTCGGAGATTGAGAGAACAGGGACCCATCGGGGTGGTTATGAGCTCTGTGCCCTGAGTCCCCGAGGTCACACAATGGTAGATGATAACCCTTGTCTTCCTGCACGTCAGGTTGCTGGTTCCAGTCCAGTGGGCCTCACAGCCGTGTCTTCTCCTCCCAGAATCGTTGTCTGCCTGAGCGGGTCCCTGCCTGGGCCCGTCTCCCTGCTGGTCCTGAGGGCAGGGCCTGCTTTTCCATTGCCTTCCAGGCAGGAGAGGGATTGTTGGCTCATCAGCCCTTGGTCATGCCCAGCAGAGACGCAGAGCAGCCCAGTGAGTACTTGGGGGACACTGGATGGAGAGGGGCTAGAGGAGCATCTTTTTCTTTATCAGGACAAGCATTTGGAACAGCCATAAGGAAGGGCACCAATATGCCACCTTCCAGTTCAGAGGCCAGGGAGATTGAAATCCCTGGTTCTGTTGGGGGCTACAAGAACTCATGCATGCTTTTGCTTTCCTCGCACACTGGTTGTAGCTCCGGCAGACATCTCTTCCCCTGCCCCACCCCAGATCAGGAACTACTGCCCACTAAGCACTGAAGTGATTGTGAAGGTGGGGATCATGATGGTGGAAATGATGATATTAAGCACACTATGCTGAATCTTTTACCAGAGTTTCCAAGTATCAAGCTCTGAGCTGGTTTTTAAAAATGTAGCTGGTTACCTTTAACCTGCATAACCACCTCCAAAAAAGACTGGCATTAGAGTATTATCATGTTACAGTGAAGGACAGGAACATAACTGTGTGTCTTGGGCAGAAAGGAGTGAAGTCAGGTTTGAATCCAAATGTCAGACTCCATTCACAGGACATGTGATAATATTCTGGCTATTCACTCAGCCTGGCATTTCTCTTTTTAGTCTTTTATAGGCAGATACCCACTCATCACTGTTCTCTTCCTTTGGGTGTCATTCCCTGTTAGACCCCATCAGAGAGCAGTGTGTCGTCCCTGATGTATCAGCCAAGGTAGGTCACCTGAGGTCATATGTGGAGGCCACAGAAAGTGCTGGAACATGATAATTTGGGGAAGCCCCCTTTTGCTGTGCTCCTTCGGTTTGTTCCAATTGTCTCCCTACTGTATTCTTGTAATTTAACTGCTGCCAATCTCTAAGGGAGACATGAAGCTAGAGTGCCGGGTTACATTCTTAGGAAACAATGAAAAGGCGAACCTCAAGAAATTTAGAGCTCTGGGCCTCTGCTTAAACCTTCTGATGTACATATGGACACAGAATGATCAAACTCAGTACGTGGGCCTCAGAGATCCATGTAATTTTAAATCTGTCTGATCTGTTTATTACTCACTGTGACACAGGGCACGTTTCTCTTGAGATATCAAGTATCTCTGAGCATCAGCATTGTCATCTGAATTGATCTTCAGTTGATACACCAGCACTTTTTAGGAATTAAGCATAGTGACTACGGAATATGTGAGCAAATGCATGGTGGGTCCATGCAGTAAGGGTAAATTATGTTTTAGACATTATTATTATTGTCACTACATGCCATATAATCAAGTATCACTACATCTTCATAATATGCTGTATTATGAAGGTTTGCTTTTCTTCAGATCCTTGAGAAACATTTTAGTTTTGTAAGCTTTATGCAAGTGCATTCTGAGCACCTGGATTGAAACAACTGAATCTCATTCATTT